TGTCCTCCATCTCCTCTGGCATCGGCCACTCGATCGGCGTGTCCAAAGTGATCTCCAGCTACCCGAGTATTCACAGTAGCCACTAGGGTATGTTAGTATGTTCGTATGAAGTTTGATACGAGTCGAATTGCAATACTGTAATATATTCAGAATAAATGATTGAACCAAAATAACTGTTAATTTTATTTTATCAATCAATAAATTACAATAAGTTATAACTGCTGTAGTTAAGTAGAGGCATTATAATTGATATAAATTGCAGTTCAACTTTAACTCAAATATTTATCTGATGTTTATTTTCAACAACCAGTTCTTGAAGAATATTTAAAGAATAGGTATAATGTATGTTATTCTATGGACATTTTTATAAATTTGGCTTATTATAAATTCAGTTAAGTTAATTTCGAGTACATTAACAAATAAAAACAAATTTCTTCATGCTTTATACAATTTTTATTTTTATTTAATTATTATCGATTTTGCACACAGTGATATTGTATAAAATACTCGTGAAGACATATTTATAGACACTAAACGATATACAATTTCCCTTCAAAGTAATAGTTAATCATTTTCATATTTTACTAAAAACTAAACTCTAAGTAATACTTCTCTAATACTGTAAAAATCTTCATAAATATCACAACTCTATTCAATTACTTAGAAAACACTTTATTTTTACTTTGATACTCTGTTACAACTAGCATACTTTAATTATTTATTTAATTAAATCTTGGGACGGATTCCTTTTTAGGTTCATAGAATTGTGATACATCCTGTAGTTAGTATCACCATTAACGTTATTTTCAACATCATCCTGTATCAAACCATTTCACAACTGTGACTTCAACCTTAAGGATTTAAGTATGTACAGTCGGGAATACTGACGGTGGTCCATCTTAAAAGCTACAATCGTTTGAACATTTTAAAATGAGACGCGGAATAAAAATTAATACAACGCTTATAAAGTCGATTAGTGTTAACGACTACAGTAGAAACTCGATAACTCAAACCTCGGTAACTAAAAAACCTTTATAACTTCAAAATATAATATGTTCCTTTCCCATCAGAGCCCAAAACCTCTATAATAGACCCTTGATAACTTAAAACCTCTTTTACTTATCGAGACTTTAACTTATCGAGGTTCTACTGTAGTTTCTTTTTATTATTATAATTTCGTTTGCACTCACTGCTATCTTATTATTTGTAGGAAGAGGCGGAGTTTGCCTCGTTGAAATTAAAGCACTTTTTTAAAAAAGTGGAATACCACCGATTGCCGCGACTGTAATTACAAGTACCTTAAGATATTTCTGTTCAATTTTACTATTGCCGACTCACTAAATCCAAGGCTTACGAGACATCCGTAATGGAACCCAGCGTGTTGATTTCTTCTACTTTAAAATATGACACATTTCTTCGTAGGATTCATTGGGGAGTCAGGGGGACAGTTCCAGGTTCGAGCGAACTGTTCAATGTTCTGCAGGCTCCCTTTTACTCTAAACTTGAGTGGAGAATGCTCGTCTTCTAAACTGGCCTTCAAGGAATCGTTTGTTGAGATACCGCACCACAGCTGAAATATTAATAATTGAAAAAAATATAATGTAACGATTCGCATATCCTTAAGGTCCAGTTAATCCAAATTTATCAATTTTACAAATACCGAGCAATCCAAATTTTAATAGACCCCAAATAGTAGGGACAACTATTATGTCAATTTTATGAAGTATTTTTTAATAGATGTAAAAGAACATTACTAAAACGAAAAGAGTTGCGAATCAAACAGAATGGAAAGAAAAGCCAAAGAGAATCCCTTTCTACCCTGCTCTTATTTACAAAATTAGTCTTACTTAGAGCGTGAGGACACCTGAAACTAAACCATAACTATTTAGTCCTTTTTGATTCCTCTGACCTTATATAGAGGAGCACACTTGAATTTTGTGCAACTAAACAGTTGATTTGGCTGCGAAACAATCGACAATCGCACAACAGTTTAGTTACAGTTGTTTTGCTCGCATTTAATAAATGGAATTAAAAAATGTACATTTTATTCTTAACTCACATTTCCATAGGACATAAAGAACATCTGTTGCGGAGTGTATTCCTCGAATCCAGGTAACTTAGCTTCGTGGCCGATACGTCGCAGTTGCCGCTCGAATGCCGAGAATGATTGTCTAATAGCGCCATTGTCAGCTATGTTCTCACCCAGAGTCTTGTGACCGTCTATCTATTGTGAAGATAGATTATTGGGTGGTTGTTATAGATTTTTGACAACAAACGTATTAAGTGTTTTCAGAAAACTATCGCTGTTAAGATATAGCTTCACATTGTAGCTTTAATTTACCTTTTAGATTTTGACATTGTTAACTTAACATAATCTATATTTCTATACTATTATAATAAAGCGTAAACACGCACTACTTTGTGGCGTAAGATGTCAGCAATTACAGCATATTTTCGAATAATTCTTTTTTTTTTATAAAAAACCCTACAATTACGTCACGCTTTAGGCTGTATATTTTCTCGCTATTAAACTTAGGGGTAAGTAAATTGGTTAAAAACTCTAATGTGGGAAAGGGACAGTAAGCTACAAGCTGCCAATATCAAGGAAGTAAGATTGCCATGGTTTGTCATCTCGGTATGTAATTTTGACATTTGCAATTATTAATATGACAAATGTAAACAATAAAATATTTTTTTATAATTTCATGCGGATGACGCCGCACGGGTACTCCTAAACAATCGACTTACATTTTTCCCAAGTTCAGGTATTTTAAATGATGAGTATTGTTTGACCAAACACTCCGTCACATTCTGATAAGAGTCCACCGTTTCATTCGACCACCAGTTCTTCGAATAACCATCTTTATCGTAAAGTCGACCTGTAAATTACAAGCATCAAGAAGTCATCTGATATTGTTGTTGCTTATTGAAAATCTTTTTAATATTATAAGTGTGAAAGTTTGGATGGATAAATGTTTGTTAGAGGCTGAACGGATCTGGATGAAATTTGGCATAGATGTAGAGGATACCCGGAAGAACACCTGTGCTACTAAGCGGACGGAGTCGCGGGCGGAAGCTAATAAATTATAATTAGAAGCTTACCTAAGTTATCAAAGCCATGAGTGATTTCGTGTCCAATTATTGTCCCCAACGAGCCATAATTAAGGGAACTGAAAAAACACTTAATTAGATACATGTTTCACAAAAAACTCGATGCAACAAGTTTATTTTCCTTTATGACACTTTATTCAAATAAGTACATAAATAAAATAGGCTAAGATCGGGCGCACATCTTTGACTAAACTATTCCACAACTGTTGTGCGATTGTCGATTGTTTTGCAGCCAATTCAACTGTTTAGTTGCACAACTAAAATTCTAGTGTGCGCACCTCCATACAAGCTCATAGGAATCGAAGCGTGACAAAACAGTTGTGCGATAGTTTCGTCAAAGGTACGCGCTGTAAGATCAATCTTATTTTAATTTTTTTACTCACTCTAAACCTAAATCATAAAAAGGATACTGTAATATCACCATGGGAACAGCTGCATGCAAAGAATAAAATCATGAAATACGTAAAGAATTTCTACATACTCAAATCAACGGTAATCGCATTAGTTTTGAACATTTTAAATAATGTTAACTAGTTACACTGAATTTAATCTATGAAAACAATGAAGCTAATCTATGACAATTTTACTCTGTGGTAGGACTTTGACAGTTTGGTTTATCTATAGCATGGATGCCACGTTTACGATTAATTAACATCTATATAAGAATTAAGAAATTAATAAAGTACAATTAGTAATATTTGGTTTAATTTATGCACACTGAATAAAAACCAATATACACTTACTTATTGTATTTGTTGCGAACACATGATAAGCATTAACTACAGTAGGATCGATGTACCATAAATTTGGACGAGGTTTCTTATAATCATCCATCTTAGCTTTAATTTCCATTTGAGCTATGCTGATCATATTCTCCAAATGCGTCTTTTTATTCACCTCTACTCCCTTGTAATAAGACTCAAGTTGCCCTTCCTCAAGCAACCAGTCAGGAAACCCTATAAGCGTTTTCATTTCTATGATTTTTCTGTACGATTTTAATTTAGTGTTGTCATCCATCCATTTTGTTTCTCCTATTAAGTGGGCTAAAGCGCCTTTCAGATTTTTTAACATTACTTCTATCTGGAAATTAACATTTTCTTTTATTAAGTTACATTACAAACTTTTTCTTAATTACCTAAATGGCCTATGCTTTTTCCAGACTATGATCTGCATCTGTACTAAATTTCATCGATACACGTTTAACTGTTTTGAAGATACGTTGTAACAACAAACCTTAAACAAATTTTTCGCATTTATAACATTAGTATGACAATTCTACAAAAAATATCTCAAATCACAAGATAGTTAATGCTTCCAATTGACTTGGTTTCATTAATGTTTAGTAAGATTTCCTTGAAGACGGAATTTCAATGTTCAAGTAAAAGTCAATCAAGCAGTTAAAACTAAATTACCTCAGGTTTAACAACACTAATGAAGTCCGGTTCAGCAATAGCATATGCCACAGCCATCCCCAGCATCTCATTAACAGCGTTAGCACATCGCAGACTCCTAGCAGCCACAACATCGGTTGGGTAAATTTTTAAAAACAACTGGTACAACGTCTGCGTAGTATCTACCGCTAACACTTCAATTACCTTGACAAAATGAATAAGTTTACATATAAAAAGTTATAAAATATGAGAATAAGGTCTGCAATTATGCATCGTAAGAGCATGGACACATTTGAATAAATTATAGCACAACCGTTGTTCGATTGTCGATTGTTTCGCAGCCAATTCAACTGTTTTTGCGTAACTAAAAATCGAGTGTTCTTTCATATAAACTCATAGCAATCAAAGCGCAAACAGTTGTGCGATAGTTTAGTTTAGTATAATAATACGACTTCTAAATATTAACTGACCTTCATCCAAATGTAGAGTTCCAAGTGAATTGGAGGAGTTTTAGACACGTAGGCAGCCATCACGCATAAATATTCTAAATCTAGCTGACTTATTGATATTTTTTCCTTTTCAAAGTCTAATTTTTCATCTTTCACGGTAAATATCCCTTCAAAATATCTTCTCCATATTGGTATTGCTGTACCATTACTTTGTGTTAGTACTGAGTCTGTGATGTTATGGATTTGCTTTACTGTGTACTCCTGTGTCTCATATACCTCTGTTTCGTCGGTTTCATTGTACGACATAATCTATAATTGGGAACATATTGTTAGTAAATGTTTTGACACACCTTTGACAAACACATTTGTGAGATCGTCGATTGTTTCTTATCCTATTCAACTGTTTAGTTGCACAACTAAATATCGACTAGTATCCCTTCATATGAGCACATTGGAATTAAAGCGAGACTTAACAGTTCTGCGATAGTTTAGTTAAAGCATTGCGACCACTCTTAATATGGCGATCAGGATTTTCTAATTCAGTACCAGCTTGTCGATGCGATTGTAAGTAACTATATGGGTTTTAGGTTTAAATTCCAAATTACGCAACAGCTTTAATAACGTTATATAACTTACTTCGTTCATTTCTTCGTTGAAATCGTAGAAAATATTTGCTATCTCTTTCAAACGATCTTTGGATACTAGTTTTGTATTATTGCTAATTTTTGCTTCTTCTTCAATAAAATATTTCATCAATTCTATGTAAAATACCTCACTTTTATCTTTAACATCTTCATTCTCTTTTTTGGTTGGTTGACGTTTACTGTGTGAGTTTTCTTTTTTGGAGTTTGTTATTGTATTGAAGTGTGAATGAGAATACCTTCTGTTTTTACTTCTTTGAAATACAATGTTACCATGCATACTGAAAAAATAAACTTTTGAGGACAAATTGAAAATAAATGATCACTTCATATTCTATCAAACTACATTACGAGTTAATGATGTTTAGCCAATTGAATGGAGTTTGTCAACAACAGACTACATAATCGACCAATAGAGAAAAGATCAGTGATGTCTTATGTTTAAAGCAAGTAGAAAATTAAAACAATTTTTGGCAGAACATTTTTTGCTTGCAAGGTACAATTCTCCTATAGAAAAAATTTCACTGCACTGGGCCTGCGTAACTACACTCTACTCAACTGAGTAAGGTTATTCCTAACTTGGGTTGGCTTCGGGTCTTGATGGTGAAGACAGATATCATCATTATCATCATCACCCTTTGTCAGCCCTCTGCTGGACCTACCTTTATGTCTTCCACAGAAGACAGATATGAGCTGATATTATTCAAAATGCACAAATTACCTTGGAAAAGGATGTGTAACTTCTGGCGCGCCGATCAAAATGTTATCGTTGGTAAAGTTGTTTGAATCAAAAAATATATCAAACCCAATTAGTACATCCATTCCGAGTTTCTTTTTAATTTTGATTACGGCCTCCAGCCAGTCGAATGTATAGTTGAGATCTTTATCAGCTGTAAAAATAACCTCTTTGAAAATAATGAAATCGGTTCAATCAATGTTTTATAAGACTAAGGGCCTGTCCCAAAATGACGTTACTGTCAGATAAGGTAGCAAAATCCGATATTTAAATCACATATGCTACACGTTGGATTGTTATCAAACAATTTACAATTTGGTGGGACAGGCCCTGAATATGTTTGCGCGTAAATTTTTAGACAAACTTAACCTCTTGTGTTTATAATTGTGGGATAATGTGGTAGTCCTATTTCATCTAACATGTCTATTACTGGCTCTAATCCACGATCTTCCAATGTTTCTGTAAACAAACAAAATTTTTGTTATTTACTTAAATACGGCTTATATACCAAATCCTCAATTTTTTTACTTCTTTTTAGTATTCAGACAGAATTATACGTAACTAATTAGTCTACTAAGACCGTCTACGCCTTTGACTAAACATTCGAACAACTTTTTAGTCTCGCTTTGATTCCTATCAGCTTATATGAAGGTACACTACTCGATTTTTACTTGCGCAACTAAACAATGGAATTGGCTGCGAAACAATCGACAATCGCACGATTGTTGTTCGAAAGTTTAGTCAAAGGTGTGCGCCTCCTTTAAATGTGGAATAAACAAAAGAAAGGAGCCAGAACTGCGTCAAAGGAAAGTCATTTGTTTTTTTTTGTATTTTAATTAATTTAATAACTTACTGACATCCATACAAGCTTCATACATGATCTTTGTCTGCTGCACAGGCTTAGGTTTCTGGTTTAAGGTAGGATCATCCGCTTCCAGAAAGTCTCGAACCGCCGCGTATACTCTGGTCTCCTGGTCGGAGAACCAGTCGAATGATATATATTCGTCAGGCCGTGGGTGATTTTTTGGCCAGTTTCCACACATGTACTAAAAATGCAAAACACTTTTTAATTCGAAAGTTGTATAAGATTTTCTTTCTATGAATGTTATGGTTGCTAATAAATTAATATATTTATGTCTTTCAACCACTGTATATATATATATTAACATGTTTTAATTGCAATTTTAAGTAACTAAACAAATAAATCTTGCTCTTATTAATGTTATAAATGCGAAAGTTTAGATGGATGGATGTTTGTTAGAGTTTGTAGCCTAAACTGCTGAACGGATCTCGATGAAATTTGGCACAGATGTAAAGGATAGTGTGAAGGAACACATAGGTTACTCACTTTTGTTTTTTTTAATTCCACGCGGACGGAGTCGCGGGTGAAAGGCGGACTACAGGATCTTTGGATCATAAGCTAATTATCCGGGCTTTTTATTGACATAGCTATTTATCCAATGTATTCCTAAGAGCATGCGCACAACTTTGGCTAAAGTATCGCATAACTGTTTAGTTGCATTTTGATTCCTATGAGCTTACATAGAGGTACACTACTCGATTTTAGTTATGCAACTAAACAGTTGAATTGGCTGCGAAATAATCGACAATCGCACAACATTTGGGCACAAAGGAGTGTGCCCGCTCTTAGTTTTAGAAGTCTAGTATTTCGCTGATTATTTCCTCACCTGGTAGAAGTCTTCGCAAGGTTGTGCCGTCTTGTCGATAGAGAGAGCCAGGTTGGCAGCAGAGCGTAAGCATTCCTTCGTCAAGCAGATATTAGGTGGAGGTTTGAACATGTATTTGTAAACTAAACAGATGGTAAATTAATGATGTAATGAAAACAAATTACTGCTTTAAATAGTAAAAAAAGAGGCACCAGGCAGGCACCTTTAACTAAACTATCGCACTGTCGTGCGATTGTCGATTGTTTCGCAGCCACTTCAACTGTTCAGTTGCACAACTAAAAATCGAGCAGTGTGCACACCATATAAGCTCATAGCAATCAACATGCAACTAAACAGTTGTGCTATAGTTTAATCAAAGGTGTGCTACCTTTTAATACGTACCTAGAGTTAACATAATACCCATAAATGTGATTATAAACAATAAAATGAGTAGTATTATCCAATATATTTTTTTTCTGTGTTTTCTACGAAATCTGAAAGAAAAACAACTTGAAATAAATCCAAATAAGTTTGAAATAACAACAATATCAAGATGCATTTTGTACTGTTATGTATTTTTTATTTGAGAAAAATATATATCATCATAAACAGCTCACTATACGTCCCTATCGAGGGGCTCGGAGCCCACCCTAAGTAAGGGGTGACTAGGCCATAGTCAAACACACTAGCCCACTGCGGGTTGACTTCACACATATCTTTGAATTTCTTCACCGATATGTGCAGGTTGCATCACGATGTTTTTCTTCACTGTAAGAACCTCGGGTAAATCTATACTATTATAATAAAGCGTAAACACACACTTCTTTGTTGCCTAAGATGTCAACAATTACAGCATATTTTTGAATAATTCATTTTTTAATAAAAAGCCCTACGCTTACGTCTCGCTTTAGGCTATATATTTTAAAGCCATTAAACTAAGGGGGTAAATATTTTGGATAAAAACCTCAATGTGGGAAAGGGACCTTAAGTTGCTGCCAACATCAAGGAAGCAAGATTGCCAAGGTTTGACATTTGCTATTGAGAATTTGACAAATGTAAACAATAAAATAAAACTTTCATAATTACACGCGGATGAAGCCGCACGGGAACAGCTAGTTATGTTTATGACGTCATTTAATTCTAAGACATTTTTTTCCTCACCTTGCGGTTCTAGAACCTATACCAATCAGATACCCTGTTTCTCTCAGTTCGCCGCCATTTTTCAGAGGTGGATGTCTCGTTATTGTCGCAACACTGGCTGGACCTTAAAAAAAAGTTTACCTAAACATTGATAATTTATAGATACATCCGAAAGCGACTAGAATGTGCGTGTATTAACTATCGATTAGTATTATTGAAACTTGTTTTCAACCCTTTAATGTAATACATAGATAAAAGTTTTTTTTGTTTGTTGGCTTCGAAACGGCAGATCCGATTTAAAAAATTCTATCACCATTACAGTAACAGAGGCAAGTACATTATTCTTTGAATCCTGCACTTGCAGAAAAAAGCTAGTTCTCTGTAATATATTTTTTATCCGGTGTTCATCATCACCAGTTATATATATACTAATACTTCCCCACCGAGGGGCTTGGAGCCTACCCTAATAAGGGGTGACTAGGCCATAGTCAACCACGCTGGCCAAGTGCGGGTTGGTTGACTTTACAAATATCTTTGAATTTCTTCGCCGATATGTGCTGGTTGCATCACGACGTTTTCCTTCACCGTAAAGAACGTCGGATGAATTATGTACATAGGAAAATTCGAAAAATCGAAATACACATTGGTACGGCGGGATTCGAACCCAAGACCTGTAGATTACAAGTCAAGTGCTTAAACCACTGAGCCACCGACGCTCTATCATCCCGTATTATGTATTAGTATTTAGTTATGAATGTGGAGGTACACTGGTAGAGGTAGACTTAGAAAGAGATGGATGTATTGCGTGAACGGTGCCACGATCCTGAAAGGAGTGATGACTGAGATGACGTATGGTAGAGTTATTGGGAGGACGACACGGTGCACCGAATTAGGTTGGGGAGATGATGATGACGCGGTATACCTAGAAGTCAGACGTAAGCCATGCACGCACTCTGCCTACCCAAAGTATTTCAAGCGTAATTGTTATTCAAACCTACGCAATGCGGACTAATGGAATCCGAATAGCGTCTAACGCGTTTAAAACGAGTTGAGATATCGTTTAAATTCCGACTAACTTACAAATAACATTAGAGAGTTAAGTTCAAAGGTAAGAAATGCAATTTAATATTAATATGTCACAAAATCTATTACTGAGATGTTTCTGAGAAAGGTATTAAACGTTAATTGATAAGTATTTGCGTTATAAGTACCTCTGGCGAATCAACAAGCAAAAACATAGGGCTTTCATCCTCTTCAATTCACTATACGTCCCCACTGAGGGGTTTGGAGCCTACCCTAATAAGGGGTGATTAGACCTTAGTCAGCCACAGTGTTAGTTGGTCGAATTCACACATGCTTATGGTATAATAGAAAGTGTTTCAAATATGTGATTTCAATAATTCGATCATTGGATCTATTCAATCGATCCAATAGGTATGTTTCCCATTGGATCAATTGATAGATCCAATGGAAAATCGTATTCCCCTTAGATCGATTATTATTTAAATGTGAACAGTCATTCGGAAAAGTTTAATTGTAACTTAAGTGTTCAATATAACCACATTTCTAATCAAAACAGAAAACATCATACGTCAATTTTCCTTAAAGTAAAAAATCAAAAAAAAACACAATCGTATATCTGTTATATCTGTTGGATTGTTATTTTCTGTACAAGTGTCTTTGTGCAATATGAAATCTAAATCCCACGGTTACATTATTTAATTACAACTTTAGTATACTACTAGCTTTCGCCCGCGATTCCGTCTACGTGTAATTAAAAAAAAACTAAAGTAAGTTGCCTATGTATTCTTCCAGACTATCCTTTACATCTGTGCCAAGTTTAGGTTACAAACTCTAACAAATATCCATCCATCCATCTAAACTTTCGCATTTATAATATCAGCATGATTAGATACAAAATGTGTTGTATAAAGCAATACTTTCTGTCGATTGTGATCTTGCCTGGATTACCTTGGTGGCCTACTAACGTTGAAGTGAACGAACTCTTATAAAAGATACTGTAAAGTTCATGACTCATGAAATAAAAATATAATTTGTAGATTATTAAGTAGCACGTAATTAAAAAAATACAAAGCTTTTATTTCAAGAGCAGAAACAATTTTAAAAATACAGAATACAATCATCGCTAACAAACCGTTGGTATAACTGAAACACGTGTTTTTTTTTATGATTTTTTGACACATTTTTTTTATGATATAAGGTGGCAAACAAGCAAGCGGACACCTAAATCCTCCGAAATGGAAAGCGACCGCTGCCCATAAACATCCGCAATTGCAGATGCGTTGCCTACTCTTAATTGACGGAGGAGAAGACGCACATAAAGACGACACTTTCCCTTCCAATGCGTCTTCTCCACCGTCAAATCCAGTTTTCCTTCCCATCCTTTCCTCTCAAGAAAAGGGTGAAAAAGGGAGAGGGACTAAAATTAGGCCTCCGGCACCACACTCATTAGACGAAGCGCGGAATTGCTTCCACTTCACGCCTGTTTTCTGTGTGGTCGTGGTATTACACCGGGCATGCCGGCCCATTCGTGCGAAGATGTTAAAGCGGGCTCTACCACTGTTAAAAATGAAATGATATTTCTGTTTGTTTCAGAAGGAATTAAATACATCTTTTTAATTCATTCGTCGTCGAGATTGGTAGAAGCTAACGGTAATTAGAAATAACTTTTAAAACAAATAATAGTTATAACTTACGAGATACACTTGGACCCATCGCATCATCGCAGCGACTCCCATCGTCCCAAGCATTCATTGTAACTTAAACTTAACTAGATAAAATCTTATCTTCGATACAATATTATATGTTTTAATACTTTATTTATTTATCTTTCATCGTTATGTAATAACTCACTGATTTACGTAGAATAATATCCGTATTTATATTTTAATCTCATGATAATTTTGTAATGGCAACACTCGAAATGAGTGTTCGCCTGCATGGCATCCGAGACACTGAAAGCTTGCGCCCGCAAACCTGAAGTTCAGACTCTTGTGACCATGAAATTGTGAACTATCGGACAGTTATAAATTTGTTTAGTTTGTTATGATACAATGGAAATAATCTGCCGTATATAACGATCCTAAAATTATTATTATTTATAAAAGAACCAATTTAATAAATTTTATTACTTGTCAATAATATGGATACAAAGACAAAAAATACTTGTTTTATTTACGAATATGGTGTTATAGGTTTCATAGTTCAAGGACTAAAAATTTTACGAACACCTTTACGTAATATACTTAGTATGCTTTTGACCTCAATTTGGGTGAAATATTTTTACAAGAAAATAGATCGAATTTTTTGGATTAATATTAACGTATAACAATTACTCTTAAATAAACGAAAGAATTCTCAATATTCAGCATTTCCCTATCAGATTAACTGAGCCTTTTTAGGTAAATAATAACGGTACAATAGAAATGGTGGCCACAATAACTCAGATACGATTTCTAGGACAGTACCTGCGGATGTCCTCACCTGCACGCGATCGCTAGTGATGTGACATCGATATTGATTTAACAGGTTAACAGTAGGTTTTGACTACCGTGAAATTTATATTTAAATTTTGTCTCTGTTTTTGCAATGAGAATATGAGAATATATGTGTAAATGTATCATTGTAGAACAAGCTAACTAGACGGGTGTCAGGACCACAAATGAATTCTGTTATATCTGCTTACCGCTTTAGGTTAACTTTATTTTATGGGATTAAATGTTGTTTTTTCATAATTTCATATAAGTTTTAACGTAATTAAATCGAATAACAATTTGAGATTCTATTTTTATTCGATAGAAATTTGAATTATCGATACGAACAGCTACAACACTACATCAATCGATTCTGTTCGTATGTAAATATTGAATACTGAATAATTTCTTCATCCTTAAATAAAACTTTTTTTTGTGTATTTTTTATATTGTTACAGCCAGAAAAGGTTAAAAAAAACAAAAGCTAATTAAGAAAATACTTTATTTGCACCACGCCCTTAGTACGGACATGATCTCAACGCTTAAAAATATAAAAAAAAAACTTGTAATTAAAAATTATTTACAACCACACGTCGATTTACCAACCATGACCGTATCCGCCGTATGAGCCACCGTAGGAGCCGAGGGAAAGGTATTTCTGGACCACAGGCTGGGCAATAGTTTGGACCACTGGTGCCGCGTGGACTATCGGTTGGGAGATGACTGGCGCCGCGTGGACAACGGGGGCGGCATGCGCAACTTGCACTGGATGTACGACCTGTAATACAACAGTGGTTACAAAAGACTGGTGACGTATATATTTGTAATGCTACGGACTTTTTTTGACAGGTTGGTAAAAGTTAAACTATGAGCGGCAACTCCTTTAACTATTTTTTGATTGGGCAATTGTAGATTGTCGATTGTTTCGCAGCATAGAGTAGTGTGCTCACCTCCATATAAGCTTATAGGAATCAAACAAGACTAAACAGTTTTGCGATAGTTTAGTTTCAGGTGGTCGCACGCCCTACAGTACAATGATTAATTCGGGCCATATGTCATTACCAAAAAATTTGCAATGTTTATAACGGACTATATTTTCATTTTCAACCGTTTATTTTATAACAAACTTAAATTATTTTTATTTTCTGTCATAACCGTGATGACTCCGGTTCTAGAAGTTTATTGGATTATTTTATGGTTCTTTGCAATTGTTGATTCCAGTCTTTACCAACCTATCACTTATGGAAATAAAATTATCAATATAAATGTCTCTTTACCTGCTGGAAGGAGGAGTAGCTAGTTGCAGGCTTGGCGATAGCGACTGGTGCCGCGTGGACCACAGGGGCCGCGTGGACCACTGGCGCTGCGTGGACAACAGGGGCCGCGTGGACCACGGGCTGGGCAACTGTGTATGAGGGCTGCGCTAACGTGATAGCTGGCTGGTGGAGGTCTAGCGATGAGAACTGGAAGAAAACGTAGGTTTTTGTTAAACGAGGCCATAGTATTGTTAATTTGTAGTAGATATTTTCATGATTATGTGTTTCTTATTTAGAGAAATTAAAACGTTTTTGTGATACTTACTCCATGGTCAAATGAGGAGAAAAGACCGCCGGGCTTTGGCTTGGCCAGAGCCACGGACACGAGGGCAAAGAATACCTGAAAATTAGAAAAATATTGATTAGTTTTAATACTAGCTTCATGAGTTACTCGGGAATGGCCTCTCGGAGAAAAATTTTTTTTTTTAAAGTTTTATGTAATTGGTATTTTTTTAAATATCAAATGTGTACTATGTTTCATTAAATTAATTATTATTAGAAGTCTTAGGAAAGACGATACTCTTTAGTTTAAAAAATGTAACCTTTCTTATCTTTAAAATTTTCTTTCTTCTAACTTAATGTTTTAGGTAGATTTATATCAGCATTTTTTATACGTTTTCGGTATTTTTATGTTTAATTTCATATTTTTCTCGTTATAAAATAAATACTCACAATATATTTCATGTTTATAGAGTACCGTTGCAAGCGCAGCAACTATGTGATGTGGGCAAGATCGGCGCACGCGCAGTTTATATACTGGATTTGGTAATTTGAAATAGAGCACGAGACTCGCAGGGCCGGGCCACATCCTGCGACATATACGTGACTCGAAATGCATAAGGGTAGAGACACACTGCGTGCTTTATTACTACACTACTGCTGCGTTGAATGTTTTTGAGTTTTGTTTTCTTGTAGAATTGTAAGTAAGATTGTTAAAAACCTAAAGCTATAGTTCAACGAAGAGCAAAGTTTTAGTGTCATTGTAAATGTTCACTTCTGAGAGATCCATACTACCTCAGTATTTTACTTAACATCAAATAATAGAAGGGTTTTTTATGTTTTACGAATTGCCGGTTAATTTGGTTTCAAGTAAATTGTTTGTATATTTTATGTATGACTAGTTTTCGCCCGTGATTCCGTCTGCGTGGAATTAAGAAAAATCAAAAGTAAGTAGCCTATGTATTCTTCCTGATTATCCTCCAAATGTATGTCAAATTTCATCGAAATCCATTAGGCCGTTTAGGCTACAAACTCTAACAAACATTTATCCATCCATCCATCCATCTAAACTTTCGAAGTTATAATATTAGTATGATATAACTATTAAAATTACTGTTTAGTATACACACAACTTTACATATTTCTTAAATATAAAAAATAATTAGATCAAATTCTGAAATAAAAGTTTTTACCTTTTTTGTATATAAAGTACATAAGCTTAGTCAATGTCAGGGGTCGTCCGATTCTTATGGTAACCAGCGAAGACTAAAATGGCCGTAATACCGATATAGACATCGATATTTCCTATCCTTTATGGCGGTGTTAAAGGAAATCTTAAGGTAATTTAAAGACTGCTTACTCACCGTTTGCTAATCGGTGATGATGACACTGAACTAAATCTTGATAATTCTGAGTTCCATTTAAGCACGTATAGACAGCAAAGCGGATGAAAATATGCGATAACAATATTGATATATCCGATAGCTTGTAACCGATCCGATATTACTTAAAAGTAATCCAGGCTTTTCGTCACAATAGCTCTCGCATACAGACTTTATCGGCCGATAGTTTAATGCTAGGTTTCTGATTTTCAAGCTTATTTTGGCATTTAGCATTTTGTTAGTATTATGTTGACTTGTTTCAAATTAGTAACACTCTCGTTACGTATTCGGAAACGCATTTCATGAATTTATAGAACCAAAAACACTAATGAATGGTTAAACGTAGCTGGGAAACCGGCTATTAGACGCTTAATCTATTTGATATTGTTCTAGCGTGACAGCCCGAGTAGATTAACAGGTGGCCGCTTGCTCGTTTGCTATCGTATATTCTAAAAAAAAAAACTCTGTGGATAAAAGTCTATAGTCTGTAGGTCCCCTTTCCGATATATCGAAAGCAGATACTTAAATAGTATTTCCCGCGTAAGCTTATCCTCGTTAACGTTTCTACAGACACACATAAGGCGATTTTTTATTGTTAAAACGTCATACTCTTCTTGATATCGAGAAAGAGATAGATATTAGTGATTGCACATAGACTAATATTGTTAATGTACGTTTTGTCGGAATTAATTTGGAGTTTACGGGTGTCCTTATCTTTTAAGACACTGTTTCATGTCTCAATATCGTTTTAGTATTCGGTTTTAGCTGCCATTATTGCGCCTTTCGTCATAATCATCAACTTGCCCTTATCCCTTACGGAGGGTCGGCACAGTATGTGCTGCTCTTCCATACATCTCTATCAGCCGTCATATCTGAATCCACTCCTTTCTTAAGCATATCCTCTTTCACACAATCCATCAATACTTTCTTCGGCTTCCTTTGTAGCCATCCACATTCATTCTAAACACTTCCTGGTCTATGTCCCCGTCGTCTCGTCGCATAACGTTTGTATACCTCGTTAACCTTTTGCTTCTCAATTTCTCCACCACTGGCGTTACTTTCAAGCTTTCGTCATTTAGTAGTAATATTTAAATTTCTCAAAATTCTATACTAACCGCAATCCTTAGTGACTGCGCATTCTTCGATAGAGACGACAAGCATAGCAAATCGTCAGGTGTGAGGGTCGCAACTAGATTATTATTACCAACAAAATGAACGATATGTTTTTTGTATGTATTTCAGTAAGAAATGACTGACATTCTTAATCAAGGTTGGATATATAAATGATCTAAATTTTTGTGTATAATTATTTAATAAAATTTCTATGGGAAAAAACGCGGTCAAAGTAACTATAATTACGTCGGAATTATTTCTCAGATTTGTTATGACTAATCTTAAACTCTTACTAAGATTATTAGTAAATGCGATAATTTAGATGGATGGATGTTAAAAGGTAACCTAAACAATTGAACGTACTCGTACTCGTATATCCATGAAAGTGAAGATGTAGAGGGAAATCTGGAAGAGCAGATATAACTTAATATTCTTTTTAATTGCGCGCGGAGGAAGTCGCGGGTGACAGCCAGATTAAATAGAACTACCTTTCGTCCACGACTTCGTCCCAGTGGAATTAAAAAAAAAACAAAAGTGCGTAGCATTTGCTCTATTATTAGACGAAATAAATAAAACGTGTTGATATGGAGTGTAGCCAATTAAATCTTTAACAACTAGTGGTTGCTGGCGACTTCGTCCACGTAAAATTAAAAAATAATAAAAATGTAGCCTATGTTATACCGCGATAACGTAGCTTTTTAACGGTGAAGGAATTTTTGAAATCGGACCAGTAGTTTATGTGTTATTTTAAAACATACCCAAATTCCGAAAGTACAAATATTTTTACTTTATAACGTTAGTATAGACAGACAAACAAGAATATCTGAAACAGTATTATTGACAAATGTATTAATAAAAATGTGAATCAAAGTACAAAAATTAATAATATAAAAGAGAAAATACTTTTCTAGACTTTGGCGTGGTTGGGAATTTTTTCCAAAGCGTAAGCTGTTGGTTCGTGTGCCAACATTTGACAGATGTGGCAACTCCTCGCCGGGACAGTTGGCCAATTCTTGATCTCGTTTCCGCTAAAGATAGTACTCGTACTATCTTTAGGGTTGCCAATTTATGAATTTAATAGTCACAAATATTAAAGTCTAATACCTTACGTTCTTTAAAATTCCATCTAACTAAAGTTATTATAATTAATTTAAATTTCAACCACAGTCTGGTTGAGTTAAGTTCCAGCAAATAGATAATTATGAACTGGTATTAAACATAACATTGCCGAAAAAAACTAAAAAAAACATTGTTTTTACAAATTTTAAGGGAGAAAGAGGTATGGCAATTTACCAAAACATTTTGTAAACTCTCAGATAAGAAAACATCGTTATTATTATCAAAATATTATGCTCTACTAAAAAATGTACTTCTAATATTGATTATATACTTCTAATATTCCATATATATATTTATATATGGACATATACATGGACAGCCCTATAACTAATTAATTCTAGAATGCACTAGTATATGGTTCATGTACTTTCCTTGTGCAATTTCATACAGGCATTTCTAACTTAATTAGTTTCTAAAGCTTTTAAGTTACTTATTAACTTTTAAAAATAAAATTGCAACTATACTTTACATTTCAACCAATAATAACTTTGTTTATATATTATTAGTAAGTATATATTTTTACAAAAACTTTAACAGTAGTAGACACTTCGCAAGAAAGGGCCAGCTAGCCCGGTGTAATACCACGACCACACAGAAGACAGGCGTGAAGTGGAAGCAATTCCGCGTTTAAGGGGACTTGAATTAAGCTTTATGGCCTTATCTCTTTTCCTTTCACCCTTGTCTTAAGAGGAAAGAATAGGAAGGGAAAGTAGATTTGACTGTAAAGAAGACGCATAGGTAGGCGAAATAACTTCTTTATGTGCGTCTCCACCGTTGATTAAGTGTGGGCATCGCATCTGTAATTGCGTATATCTATGGGCAGTGATGGCTTCGCCATTTTGGCGGAGGTAGCCACTTGCTCTTTTGCCACCTGATGATATAAAAAAAACTTCATCATCATCACCAGCTCTTTATACGTCCCCACCGAGGGACTCGGAGCCTACCCTAATACGGGGTGACTAGGCCATAGTCAACCACGCTGGCCAAGTGCGGGTTGGTTGACTTCACACATATCTTTGAATTTCTTCGCCGATATGTGCAGGTTGCATCACGATGTTTTCCTTCACCGTAAGAATGTCGGGTAAATTATGTACATATGAAAATTCGAAAATTCGAAAATCACATGGGTACATGGTGGGATTCGAACTTCGAACCCAAGACCTGTAGATTACAAGTCAAGTGTTCAAACCACTGAGCCACCGACGCTCTAAAAAAACTTACAAAACACATATCCACAGTTCCGATCCCTACGTACTGGTATGTACGTGGGAGCCTTGGATATGTAACTCTATGAAATAAACTTTACATAATTCAGTTTTGTCCAAACAAGGAAGATAATAACATACAAACCGCACCGTATATCTTATAATGAATTACAAAAAGCCACCGTTCTAACTACACTTAAATGGAAGTGAAAAAAGTGGTATTCACAGATTGGTTCTAACTAACGGTCGATCGGAACTTTACGCTCGAGTTATATTGACTGGGATTTATTTTGACTTAATCCCGCACTCAGAGATATTAATTAATAACTCATAATCACATTTCTCCTTATCCTACTCCCGTAAGGACGCCGCTACAGGTTGTTGTCCTCGATATAACTCTATCATACGTCATCTCAGTCATCATTCCCTTCTTGATCATGTCACCTTTCACACAATCCATCCATCTCTGTCTAGGTCTACCTCTACCGGTGTACCTCCACACTCATCCCTCCTTATTACATTAATTGATAACTAAAGGGGTCATTTAGTATAGATTTCTTGTACCTATTTAGTATACACTACTACTTAATAATTCTGACGAAATGTTTTATTCAATGTTGTTTAAGACGTCGAAAATGTTCTCGCAAATTTTTGTGCCATGACCTAAAGCAACATCTTGTGCTATTTATCTGTTCATTAATCTGTTATTTATCTGTTAAGTAACTAATTAGTTTATTTATAATACGTTGAGCTTCAAGAGATTTTTTTTCTCTATTTACAGTTTTATATTTTTTTTGTCATTTTAATAAATGTTTACTTTGAAAGTTTATGCATTAGTAACGAATGTTTTTGAATCTATTCAACGATTTGTAAGTACTGTGTACTTTTCGGTGTAAAACAACTTTATTGAGGACGACCAAAAGCAATGAACATCAATAATTCACAAGTACTGGTACAACTAGAACGTTATTTATGAACTAGTTCTAAGACTTAGGTTAGTTTCGTTAATAATTAACTTTTGAAGTCAAACTTCGTTTTTTTAGATTAATTATTGGTGTTTGAAGAGTGTTTTTATTTATGAAGGAGTTTGTATTTAACACGTATTTTGAGAAATCGTAGTTCTTATAGTTAGTTATTTTCTCGTTTCAGAAAAACAAAAGAAGTTTTTTCTGTTTGTAGCTTTTTTATATTAAGTAGTTATTTCATAAATAGAATAACAGTTTAGAAATTTAGTTTTAAAATCTTTATATTAATAAGTGCAGCTAAAATTTTAATTTTTCCATGACGTCTTTGGGCTCACATTTCTATTTCATCGAAATGAAGGCAAGGCATAAAATTATTGATTTTTTTAAGTATGCATGCTGTTCAAATCATATTTATTGTTCGTTCAATATTGTACGAGGTCACCAGATCGATATTCGTTTAATAATGTACGAGTGCCCTCGATGGTCACACGTCGATAATGGAAAAACTATGACTAATAATTATGTTCTATAACGTAGCGTGTGAAAGTAATGTATTTAAATTTTATTAACACGTAAAAAGAACGTGGAGATTTAATAAATCATTGATGTACAAAGATTTACTAAAAATGTTTTAGAAAATAGGTAATTGTGTAAAAACAATTACATAAACCACTCTATAATATTTTATAGCATTATTTAAAAGTATTGACAAAATTAGTAATTGTCAAACATATAAAACATAGATAAGCGCCATCTAGTTAAAAGCACATTATCTACTCTACCTTTGTGACTACATTATTGCTGATTTAGTTCTTAAACCGCGTAATAGATGGAGTTAAAATAAAAGTTTTCACTTTCAAAGTTTCAAAGGCAGATAATTTTCTAATCAAGTTGTGTTTGTATAAAATATCGAATGTAATATATTAAATTAATTAGCATTTAAAGATTCACAAGTTATCTGAAAATCATTACTATTTCGTCATAAATATATAATTTATATGATGAGAGGTTATAGTGCGACTGAGAAATATTTTTACCGTAAAAGTCGTCTCTTGTTATAGTTATTTGTTTTTAAAAGTAGATAAAATATTAACTTATGCACAATCACAACTGAGTTTCATACATTTGATCTTAAATTCAAAAACTTTATTACTTTAAACAATAAATAATATTTTCTAATAGATATATTATATTCTAATAACTTTACCTAGATGTTATATGTTTTTATATTTGTACGCTGTTGTTTTGTTAAATAAATAAGTATATAATTATTAAACTATTTTTGCACTAGCTAGTTTTTTTTAAGTTTTAAAGCTTTAAAACTTAAAAAAAATCCTTTATCTTCTTCATTAACTACAAAACTATATTTATTGTGCGTAAATTAGCGCCAATAGTCCAATAGATATTATGAATATTGCTTGTTAACCCTAATTTAAATAATCTAACAACCTATTAAAGAAAACCAATATAAATATAAAAGGATAATTATGTAATGTATCTAAGTAAACGTGATAAGGAAACAATTTAGCTGTAGATTGCGTAACTGCAAGCGACAAACGAACCCTAGCCCGGCACGCCCACTGACACGGTAATATATCTGAACATTAGAATTCTAATCGCTTTTCTATCGAATAAAATTGCCATTCTTAGAAATAAGTGGAACAAATAATTGTTATTTAGTGTACATCGCGTTTTTATTAAGCCAAGTTTTCTAGTATCCAATATGCATCTTATACTAAATTTAATTATCTATACTTATATTATATAAAGTAAATATTTATATCTTTGTATGTATTCGATTCACGTAAAAACTACTGGGTAGATTTAAAAAAATCTTTCACCGTTATTTACCGGTAATTTATCTGTGAGTATAGGCTTTTATTATTTTTAAATTTTACGCTGGCGAAGTTGTCTATTATAGCATCATTCGCTTAAATTACGTTTTTTTCTGTATTTAATAGAGTCATTATTATATGAAGTCATATTTCTTTAATAATTGACTTTCCAGAAACACAAAATAATGTAAGTTATCACTAAATATGCGTCGTTAGACAGAAAGCTGGTTAAACGCAATTTTATACCATCATTGGGGTAGGGGTCCAACAGTGGTAGCCCACTGTTAGGCATAAAGGCTGAAGATGGTAATAATAAAAACAGCATCCTGTTTGATTAGGCATCCTCTGTTCTGTTCTGTAGCTATCGGGTTCTAAGGTGTAAATCTAACACATATTACAAAGAGAAAAACTTTGTTTGTTTGATTGTAATGGATAGAAATAGTTAGAAAGGTAATTTATCTGTGAGTAACATAGGGTATATTTTTTCATTTCTTTTTTTATTTTTAAATTTCACGCGGATGGAGTCGCGTGCAAAAGCTAGTAAGAAATAAAAGTATAACATATTGAGATAGTTTTTATTATAAAAGTCAGTATAAAAATAGTATTTAGTCGACTGCGGTCGAAACAAACTGTATTCTTCCTTACACCACTATATATAGCTATTTACAAAAGCAAATTACACTGGTACATAATATAGGTACATACGTGAAGCCTCTCTTTAGCATGGTATTGAAAGAGATCAAGAAAAAAACAATATAAATGTATAAGAACATTTTGTAACCTAAATATATTTGTAAAATGGATCAATATAGGTTATAAAAAACGGTAAACGTGAATACTAAAATATACATTCTATAAAAAATACAAAAAGTTTTGGTAAAGACATCTATAAATTTACAAACGTTTTTTGACTCCAAAATAAACAAGATTCAACTTCGATACTAACCCAATATATAAAGAGTCATCCAAAGATATATTATAACTAAATCTAACTAAATCACATATCAATCGTGACTATAAGTGCCTCAATAAAAGCCTTCGAATTATCAAACACTCGTTTGTTGATCATAATTTCAAAAAACCTTCCGCCATTAACCTTTGCACTAATAATACAGTTTAAAGATATTAATATTGTAAGCACGTTTAAGTAAAGCCGTTATTTCGTAATGAAAATTACAATTTCGTAATACTTTCGACTATTAACACAATTTGTAACTGCTAGACGTAACCTAGCTGAATTTGAATTTGATTTAAAATTTTGTAAAATTGTTAACAAAAGTTCAAAAACTATTTAACCGAATTGTTAATTTTAACAACAATAGAAAGGTATTTTGTCAAAGAGTACCATAGACTATAATTTTATCTATCTAACCATGATAAACTGTGATTAATTTGCTATCAAAAATTTCATTTGATTCTAACAATCGAGTGTTCAATTCGCATCTCTTCACCAGATCTTAGAAGCAAGTCCGTGTCCGTGGAGACCAGCGCCGTGGAGACCAGCGCCGTAGAGTGACGCACCCAGACCTGAGGTCACGATCGACTTGACAACTGGCACCGCCACAGGCTGGGGCACTGGAACTGCTACCGGCTTGGGAACTGGCACCGCGTAAGGAGCGGGAACTGGTACTCCGACCTGAAATGATTGGGGTTGTTTAGTTTAGATCCTTGATAATATGTGCATTGTTCAGACAACTAAAAAACAAATGAACTTTCTGGTAGTTGTAAATCTATTAGCAATTCTGTTAAAGCATTTTCAGTACTCATTTGCATAATCATTATATTTTGCCATACCTGTTTGATGACTGGGT